GATTTCCTCGAAAACGAAGTCTTTGAAACAAAAAATTAGTATTCTTTCTTTTCGACACATTTTTACAACGTAGAATCACTTCCCGATCGGTCGACTACGAATCGTGAAACATCCTGTATATCTTCATCTAATATAATTAACATTGCTGTCCATAAATATCGAGTATTTTGATTGATTTTTACGTAACGCTCGACATGAACGAAATTTTTTTTACTCGGTGTATTCTTCGTAGTAGTTTATTGTATCGAATGTCTGCTAGCCATAAGCGATAATAGCTTCGCTATGATCAAGAGGCCCGGGGCTCTAAATACGTAATCGACCGAAGTGTGGAAATGAACGATGAATTAATAATCAGAAGCAGCGCTACCTTTCCAGATCAGCAAACTGTATTAATAATCAGAAATAATTAATCTTTGAGCAATCAATACTTTTAATTATAATTAAATATTAAAATTAATCTTTGAACAATTAGCATAATACCTTTAATTAAATATTAAAGGTGCCTTTTAATATTTACTACTGGATGAATTTGCTATTCGCACATCGCCGTTTGCAAACGTTGACATGAACAAAAATAAAAGAAGAGAGAAGCCTAGATAAAAAACGCCTAGAGAACAACGGTTTAATAACGAAGAACAAGGCACAGCATCGATTGATATTTTTGTTAATTACATTCCCAAATCAAGACGGATGTTTCTTCATCCAGTTATCGCTGCTAGAGTGTGTTTCTGTTTCATTAACGGTTCGAAGTAGCAGCCAGCCAGTGAAATCCCCGGGACTAGAGCCGCGTTCCTCCGCGAAGAACTAGGAAACTTTCGCGCCTATTTTCTTTAACTTTCTCTCTAATAAAGCTGCGCTTATCTCTCGGCGAAAGATCGACGAAAGTAAGATAAACACGCTAACGAGAGTGAGAGAGGCTCCGTTTCAATCGAAGTCCAACTTGGGCTCTCGTCGTCGTCGTCGTCGTCTTGGAGATGTCGTGCAACTATCTTTGTTTCTCTCTCGCCGGGGTCCAAGCTTGATTAATTAAAACGTTAATATAATTAATCCGGAGCCCGTCTTTTGAGAACGCGAGCAAGGAGGAGGGAGTATCCTTGGGCTCGGGGGTTCGCTCGTCTGGAAACGTTTACGCATCGAGGGCTGGTCTAACAAGCCAGAAGACACCCCATCCGGTCCTTTGATTCCTCTTGTTTAAACATTTGCACTGTCGAGTTCGGAACTTCCCTTCCGGCGGCAGCCGGAACAATAGACACGTGGATCTTGACGGGTAGAATCAACCAGATCCGGTTTATTCTGCGTTTTAATCCATTTTTCGGTACGGATGAGGTGGGAAAAATATTTCAGACATTTGCTCCGAAAGAGCGTGATTGACAGAATGCAACGTGGTTATGAAATTATAAATAGGGCGACTCGGGACAATTTAATTTTTCATTGGAATCTTAGAAGGTTTATTTTAAAGTCATTTAAATTTCTAAAGCAGCCCTCTTATTCTTTGGTACTATGTTGTTGTTTCTCAAGAAAAGTTTAATTGAAAGCAATGTGTTGAGAGATCAATTAATCTTTCGACAGTGGTATTTCAGGAGTTTTGATAAATCATTTTTCAATAAATTCGTTTCGAGCCTGTCTGTCATTCCGTTCTTAGTGTGTATTTCCAACAATTTATTTACGTCTTCGCTTCCTTCCTCCTTCCGTCACTCGTTTTATATTGCTTCTCAATGACGTCCATATAAATGAAGCAAGTTCAACTTGGAATTACCACGCGAAATTAAAATTGAAATTCATTTTATATTTGCAATGTTCTGAAGTGCAAGAAATGTGTTTTTACATAGAAATACATTTTCATAGAAATGAAACAGAAATATTAAGTAACTGATTGTTATTGTTCCATCCATTCGTGAGAAATTTAAAGATACGAAAATCAATCTCTGTGTGAATTCTATCTCGTCGATTGTCCATAAACTTTATAAATATAAATTTCGAAATATAAAATTCACAGTCTTGCTATTAATATTTACACGCTTGCCATTGTGTGCGTATGTGTTTTATAATATTCAATTTAGAATTTCATGTATGTATGAATTTGGAAAATCTACAAACAAATAAAACTACGAAAGAAATACAATCGCTCGAAAAAAATTGTTATACTCGATGAACAATTGTTAACAACTTTGTGAAAAAAAATCGTGCAACTATCCACTTAGTTTCATTTTAAAACACAAAGCATCTATTTTGACAATAGTAAATTTGTTTTTTTTTTTATGTTTTTACGTCATATGAACTTTTGTTGTTGACAGAATTACCAAAATGTTTATAATTTTCCACTGAAAATTTATAACAGTGTATTTTCAAAGATTTCAATGATTTTTAGTTTTATATATAGATAGAAGTTTGTGTTGTCTGCTCTTTATTGTATAAATTTGTCTGCGCTTTATTGTATAAATTTCATTGTTCTAGTGTTAATAATGATAAAAATTCAAACGTCTGTAAAATCATTGAAAAATTTCTTTCGCGATTAGATTTATCATGGCTTTGAAAACTGAAGTCTCTCCTTTACAGCGAATCTTCAAAACTTATTGTACGATTTTATATATTCCTCCAATATATTGAATATTAAACGCTATTCAAGAAATCTTAACATTTCGTCGTCTAATGTTCAAAGTTCAATGAAATGGCGAAAAGAAATTTGTGCAGGAAATTTTGTAAAGAAAAAAAAATTTCAATTTTCGAAACCTAGCCATGGAAGAATTTTACCAGCGATTTTGACTCTTCAAAAACAGAACAAAGTATCTTTTCCCACCTTCGTTATGAAGCAAAAAACTTCGAAGTAAATTATTTTTTAAATAAAATAAATTTGGAATTGTCGAATCAGGCCAATCTAGATCGTTGTACAATTTTCTTTTACGAAATTGTAACAGTTTAAAGATAATTTCCTTTCCTAACGAAATTACAACGATTTTTCATCGAGTATACGAACAATTTTGTGACCGTTCACCGTATCTGTTCCAAAAATGTAATTATCCTCGTGGGGATTCTCTCTTCGCAGTATCGCATGCGAGTAACTTCCTCTTGCGAAACTGCCGCCACTTGCGAGCTCTTACCGCGGTGGTTGCGATTAATTTTCCTTTGGGGGTGGGGGATAAATACCCACGTCCGAAGAGCGAAAGAAACGGGGCAAAAAGTCCCGGGCGAAAGAAAACGGGCGACATTAATGCGATTAACCGTACGCGAGGAGATAAAGAAAGGTTCGGTGAAGTGCGGTGGAGAGGAGAGGTTGAAGTTCGTGCAGCATCATTGCACTTGGCTCGTCCTCGAAAGTCGAGGGTTTTCCCTCCTCCGCCCTCTTATCCGACCATTGCGAGGGATTCTGCAAGATCCGTGCGCCTTATAGGGGTGTGTATTGTACTCCGAGGCTACCTGTCCCTCGTCCTCGTCTCTCTCATTCCTCGCAAACCGCGTCCTTTATTTTCGGGTAATGTTGCGTGATAACAACCAACGCTGCCAGCTTTCTCTTACTCTCTCTCTCTTTCTCTGTCTCTCCGGAATTGCTCCGCCGGGACGATTATTAATATTGTCGGTTGGCTTGCGAAGAGGGATCGGATCGTTAACAGAAAGCGTTCTTATCCACGAGCGTTTCGCTTGCTGATTTTTCGGGATGGAACAATGGCCGAGTGGTGGCTTCTCTTTCGTCCGGATAAACGTGTACACCAGCGGTGGCCAACCGTGTCGCATGGAGCAAGCTGTTAGAGTAAGATATTATTATTGTCGTTGCAACAACGACTGGAACTAGGTACTTCCGTGACGAGTTTATTATTGCAGCACTGGACTGTGCGCGTGTCTTGAAAATGGCAATTACACAAGCGCAATGAACTTCGCAAATATCCTGTAGAATCACATTTATTAACAATTAGACACGAAAAAAAAACTGTGCAAATTATTACCGAATTTTTACAGGAGCCGAATTTAGTGAGAATTGATTATTTATTAATTAAACTTGTTTCTCTTGAAAATTAAACTATTTCTCACCCGCGAGCCTGCTTTTATTGGAACAGCGCTGGTTCAATTTAACAAATCACATTTAAAAGACGTTTAATTGTTAATCTGCTGTCATCTAGAAACGGTAAATTAAAGCGATCGATAAGACGATCGATGCCAATCGTTTCAACGTCTTGATCTACATGACGTTTCTGAGTCCTCATTTCCTAAACATTGATCAGAAATGTTCGGAAGAACGTCCAATGGAAATACAACTAAATTGGGAAGTTCAGAGCGCATGTGTTTAATATTCTTGCGCTAACAATTATTATTATTTGTCAGAGTAAGTTAGTTTGTCTTTTTCTAATGTCCTTCTTATATTTGTATACACGTTTTTGTTGTTAAAATAATCTAGTAGCGCTAAAATAATCGAGGCTCACTTGAGAAAAAATTAGTACGTAGGGTACAAAAGTTTGGCCACCCCTGGCTACACTATACTGCGCGCAAGCGTTTGGATACCCAATGCAATTTGACATTTTCATTTGTATGGGAATATCTATGAACATAGAAAATTCTACAGGATCGTTCTGTAATGATTAGTCTGCAGTAGAAATATTTAGGTGGAAGTCAGGGAGAACGTTTCTCGTAAATTGATTCTTTATACGTTACCTCTTGCTGTGGCTAGCTCTGCCAGATTTAATAGAATACTTTTAGAGATTTGAAAAATATAATTTCTCTGCTAATTAATAAAATATTACAACGAACAGACATATTGAAAATAAAATCAATTTTCTATCGGTATATACGACTTGCAAATGTACTCTTTATGATGTCTTCATGAGTACAAAACGAAATAAACGAACCATCCAAGATACCAATCGAGTTTGCAATGATCAGTCTACGGAAAACACTTGACGATCGGTTATTATTTCCACGGTTTTCTGTATCACAACGGAAATAGGAGGACGTGTGTTCAGATGTTTGTTGGAAGAGGCCAGAGTGCAGAGGATACGAAAATGGTACGACCATTCCTGAAATAATAGCTACTTTATTACGATATACGAATACCATTCATCATACTTGTCACAAGTGAAAAATATCGTTCGAACGGATTTTTTTTTTTTTTTTTTGTTTTATCGACAGATTTTATTATGTAATATAAACTTATGTGTTATACATTGCTACATGTTCTTGCTTAACGGCTAGTCCTATCGGCTAGGTCCTTAGATGCTAGAATGCACAGTGACTTGTACAGAATCATCCTCCTTTCTTCCCTCCGGTCGGGTCTCTCTCATTGATTTGTCATTGTCTTCCGTGAGCCTTCCAGTTCACGCGTTGGGGAGAAGAGAGAAAGAGAGGAAGAAGTTAGTTTTATATATATATATATATATATATATATATATATATATGTATGCGTACGATACAAGCACGAAGAACAGGCAGGAAGAAAAATCGCGCAGAGACGTTGTTGGGGGGTTGGGAAAAGGTGGTAGAACAGGGGGATAGAACGGAAGATCGAAGAGCACAAGACAGAGAGGAGAAAGTTAGTTTCGGGGGGGCAGGAGAGGCGGAAAAAGCTAAAGGGGAGTTGGGAAGGCGGGGAATACAGGAAAGGATAAGATGTACATTTACACGAGCGTTCTCTTTGGTAACGTCTCCTCTCCTTGTTATCTCGCGCTTTTATTTCTTAGGCAAAGCACAGCTACTACTCCTTCTCTCTCTCCGTGTCGTTGAAACTTTCGTTAAGAAAGCGTCCCCTCGAGCGTTTAGTTTATAAAACGTTCATCCTTAATGCTGCTAAAACTGCGACGGCTTGGTCCTACCTCCTTCCTCGCTGAAACGAAAGGCCGCCCCCCCCCTCTTCTCTCTCTCTCTCTCTCTCTCTCTCGTCTCTCGTATTGTACCGCGAGAAATTTCACGATTCACCGAACAACTTTCTCTCGTCTACGTGGCTACGAGGCGAGTTCGTTCGCGAAACCTCTGCTCCCCTTTATCCCGCGAATTATTACGTATAACTTTCGCAGTCCGAAAATCGGAGACATAAATCTCGACTATTTCCTTCTTTTTTTTTTTTTTTCTTTCTTTTTGTACTCTGTCGATTCTTCCCTTTTAAATTTATTTCCACCTTCTCGCGGCCTCGTGAAATGTACTGTCGCCTTTCTCTTCGGCAGCGATCGGAGCAAGCGGCAAATAGTGATTCTCAATCAAGACACGATCAAGCAAAATTGTGTGTCGATGTAATTTGTAATTTCTCCAATTGTAAGTTTCTATTTGACTTAAAGAAAAAGAAAAAAAAAAAAAAAAACGCGGTGACAGACGAATGATTTCCCAGCGATGTGTCAATGTCGAAGCCTGTTTTCGTAGAAACGAGTCGAATGAAATCGAAACGAATATGGTATATCGTTCTCTTTCCCCTAGCTCCGAACACGTTCGCCACGTTCGATGGTTTTAATTACTCGAAACGACGCGACAGGATTTGTCCCTCGACAAACGGAACGCGAGAGGAGGACAAGCCGTTGCGCGCGCGACCATTGACGGTCGCCATAATACCAGAGCCTATTAATTAACGAATTTACGATTAAACGTTAGTTGTTAATTATTATCGTTAAATTTTACGCCTAAGATATAATACACTCACTCTAAGACGTACCTGATGATATCTTTTTTGTTTTTTTCCTTCCTTTCTTTCTTTTTCTTTTTTTTTTTTTTTGTTTCTTTTTTTTCGTTTCTGCTTTTCCGCTTGTAAAAATTTCCCTGCCGCGCCACGCGAGTACGAGCTACGTAGACCGTAGTGCGCGGGGCGCGCGGGGAAAACGAATCTTCCTTTCGTTTTCTTTTTTTCTTCTCTCCATGTCGCATTCTCTTCATGTCGCTTTTGTAAATCTCGCTTGTGAATTCGACAGGGCGAGACAAGCGTCGTAAGGTGTTTATACTTCTCTTCCTCGTCGAGAAAAGCGCGCCCCTCAACCCTTTAACCGAGTATTCGAGCGTTTCAAAAGGAAACAATGGATGATAAAGTACTCGGTGTCTGTTGTTTCCGCGCGGGAAGACCCGGATCGATAAATTGAAACGCATCGTTCGAACGCCACTCGAGCGAGGGAGCGCACTCGGTTAAAAGGTTAATGGAGAATCGCAGCGATACAACGTCGTGTAAATTCGGACGCAGCGAAACGATCGATATTCACACTTTGCTACGCGGTCGACTAATAAGAGATACTCTTTCTTTCTCTTTCTTTCTCTCTCTCTGATTACAACTTACAAAGTGTTAAAAAATTTCAAACACAGCGTTTCCATAATCTTATATCCTACGGATATTTCCTCCGTCTGAAACGGCGAGTTCACAGACGCCGGCGTCCAGAATCAATAGACGCTCTCAGCTTCCGGGACACGAGCGGCGAACAAATGCAAAGCTAGTTTCGGATAAAAGGATATCCGGGGACCGGCGACTAAGTCCCTCTAAGACCGCCGATCGACACGCGAACCACCCGCTGGATTTTCTACTTCGAAGGGAAACTTTCTCATCCCGCCGGCTTCTTCATTCGTCACACGTACACACGCGATACACGTACACGCGCGCCGCCGGTGAAGCACGGTGCACGTGCAAGGTCGGTCGACTAATTGCGTTCAACGCCTCGGCCTCGGGGAATTGCCAGCAATTTTTCGAACCTTCGCCAAACTCGTACGTATTACCCCCTTCTTCTTGCTCTTTCTTCTCTCTTTGCTCCTTTTTTTCGGCTGTTTTTCCGCTCCGACGGGATATATATACTGGAACGCCCGTATCCGAGTTTCAGCGGATCCCGACGTCCGGGAATTCCCGTTTCATCCTGGGATAATCCGTAAACCGGCTCGAATTCACGTGGAATTTTCGCGACAACCTTTATCTCGTTTCCGATCGGCCGAGGCTACGAATGACAAACGCGTTCGTTTCGACCGTTTAGTGGGGGGGCCCAGGCTCAGGCGTTTCCGTCTCACGGCGAAACTTGTTCTCGTTCGTTTCCACGGGATACAACACCGGAGTCGGATCGAAAGCTAAGTCGGCGAGTGAACTAACTCCATCGAGATACGAGCTCTCGAATCGGTCGCGTTCGTTTCCAAGCTGACGCGTAGGAAATGTCGCGCAGGTAACGGTCGAGATGTCGATCGGCGATCGATCGGGGTCGCGATAGAAAAGCGTCGAGAATTAACCGCCATTCTACGCTCGAACGACTAAACCTTCACCTTCTAACTCGTTCGTTTCTCCCCCTCTTTCCACGAACTTTCCAAACTGTTCTGCTACGTCGGGGAAATATGTCGATTCGATCGGGCGAAATTTGAACACGAACTACTGAGGGTAATTGAGGATTTGTAGGCCAAGGTTCGCTCTCGACTCTGTTTTCTCATCGCTACTCGCTCTTGCCTATCGCTACTCGCTCTTGCGTGTGTACGAGTAGACGTAGTATTGTTCATCACTCTCTCTCTTTCTCCCTCTGTTCTTCGTAGTATCGATCGATCGCGATAATTGTGATGTCGACGCGTCTCTGCCCCGTGCGAAATCTTTGGTGCTACGACTACGATAACGTTATTGACGCAATCTAGCGGACCACTAATAACGATCCAGCCGCGTTCATCTATTTCCATCCGCGCGAGGAGCCCACCGAACGATGGAGGCTCCCCTCCCTCGCATCCTCCCTCTCGGATCGTTCTGGGTAAATCATCTCGAGTCGACGGCATCGTCGTTCACGGGATCGTTTCACCGACGACCACACGACTACCATTGATAGCTGTCCAGGATGGATTTGCCGTCGGAGCAGGGGCTCGCGCTGCCGCACCACTTGGTCTCTTTCAGGGGTGGACACGATGACCCGCCACGCCGTGGCTTTATCGTGATCTTCCGCGTCCTCTGTGTCTCCCCTACGCCGCAGCTACGACTGCACGCGCTCCATGGGCCCCATTCTCCGACCTTGCAATCTCTCGGAGGACCTGCAACATTTCGTCCGGCGAAATGAATTTCCGATCTCGAACAACTGCGTTGATAGCAACCATGCAAGCTAAATTTCATGCGAACATTGACGATCGACGCTGGACAGACGTGCATACATATTTGAAATTGGCGGTTGAGAAATTTATTAATTATTAGGAGATATTGGTCTTTTGGTGAAGAGAGTTGAATACAATGGAATGAATTACGCGCTGGACGCGTAAAATTAGGTAATTTCTTAGATCGAGATTAGATGGATGTGTGTAATTTGAAATTAGAGGTTTAGAAATTTATTAATTTCGGAAATATTAGTTTTTTTTTTGGTGAAGGAAATTGGATATAATGGAACAGTTATTAAATATATTGCGTACTTGTCAGAAATTGCGAAAATTAAATAATTACTGATTGAGACTAGACAGATGGCATTTGAAACTAGAAATTGAGTTTGTGATTTTAAGAAATACTAGTCTCTCGCAAAGAGAGTAGAATAAGTTCCTTTAGGATATAGGAATAAAATTCTCCTATTACTGGGCGATCAAGACGGACGTACGTATGCAATTCGAAATTAGAAATATAGAAATTTATTAATTTTGGAAATATGAGTCGTTAGTGAATATAGAGTATAATATAACAAGTTATTAAATACATTGCATATATTGTAAATTGAGATCCTTTTGTATAATTGAAATAATTAATTATCGGGGAAATTCTATATAAATATTAAGTTGCACTGCTAACGATACAATTGCTTGCGTACCGTAATTAATATAATTGACCAAGTTCAAGTAGGTATATTAAATTTAATGCTATTTTCGTGGTTACACGAAAATTTGACAAAGTAAAATGTAAAATGAAATGCAAAATTTAGTGAAAAGTTGAAGTATGTGCAGGAATTTTTTTAAACTTACTGCACGTTCATTTATTTTTGCTGATTTGTTATGAGTAATTTTCGAAAACAATCGAACGTGATTGTAAATTCTGGATTTATTGTTTGCTGCGTAATGATATTGCGGCACACTCGTGAATTTCTATTCAATAAGGACAAGTGCCAGTTTTCTAACGAAGGATAGTTCCAACCCGGGCATTAACTTCGTTAGCTTGTTTTAACGAGGATCATCAAAGACACGTTACGTTTAATAGTAGAGCAATTTGCATCTGACGCGATGTTGCAGCAGTGAATAGCCAACGTTCATTCAAGCATTTCAAGGAGAATTTTTCTTTTAGCAAGGTGCAGGCAGTTATGTAACAATTTTGGATTCTATCTACGCTCGCAATTTGTATTATATGTAATTTTTTTAAACGATATGCTGCAAATTTCGATCGTGTGTAATTTTTTTAAATGAGACGCGCAATTCAATTTACGATGCTTTAAGAGTGTATCTGTAAGATTCAATTTTCTTTTTTCGCATTTGTCGGATATAATCGTAGAAACACACGTGCGAAATTGTACGTTCGACAATTAACGAAGTTGCACTCGTTTTGAAGAATGCGATGCTTAGTAGTATTAAAATAGCGTAAGAAACTTTCAAACGCGTTGTTCTCGAAACTAAGCAAGTTTCCTGAATTGGTTTCCGTAATATCTCAAGGATCTTTTTACTTTTCTCGTTTCTTGCAGTTGAAATTACGTTGAACGCCACGTTGCCGGAATCTCTCTTTTTCACGCCAATTTTTATCGTTCCTCTGTTTTATTAGTTCTTTTCTGTTTCTTTTTTTTAAACTTGTTGATTGTTTATTAAAACGTTTGCACGTGTAGAGAAAAAAATTGACAGAAAAAATTCTACAGTTCCTCTGCGTAAAAAGCAACGAAAGAAAAATTTCCCATTCCGCGGTATTCTACAATTTATTCTGCTGTTTTAATTTCTCCCCGTTTTCGTTTTTTCTTTTTTTCCGTTCCTTTTTCCTTGACCCGGTTTGACGTTTCTGCGTGTTTTTCAAAAATTTAGAGAGAAATAAGAAACAACATTGTTGTTGATACGCGAGATCTCCCAATTTTTTTGCCAAACGTTTCCCCGGTAAAATGTTCCTCTGTTTGGCAAGACTTGAAAAAAGATTGGGGGAAAAAAAAAAAAAGAACACAAGAGTCGAGTTTCGTAAAGTGTAGAAATTTAGAATGAAATAGCTCCATTGAAGAGACGAGTGCGTGATTGGCATGTTTTTGTCTGTTAACGACCAATTTCGACGTTTGTTTCAAAACGAAATTCGAAATCGCCGGAGGACAAGAACGCAAACGTTTTGGGAAACGGTTATTAACCAAACGGAGTAACGTGTGTAAGCAGCGGAAGAGGACGCGACGTCGGTTAAACGAAACGACGACGACGAAGAATAAAAAAAAAAAAGAAAAAAAAGAAAAAGGAAGAAAAAGGATAATCGCAGCGACAAAGGCAGCGACTCTGAATGCAGCGAGTCAAAGAGGCACGGAAGGAGAAGAGACTTGGTTTCCTTTGACCGTTTGCGTGGAAAACGTCGTTGTCAAGCTTTGTTTCGCCATTAATTTCCACGAATGAAAAGATTGCATTAACGTCGGGTCATTGTCGGCGTGAACCGCGCCACGTCGCCGCCGCTTTTCAAAGGGGAACGGTTGAACGCACAAGTACAGAGAGAGAGAGAGAGNAGAGAGAGAGAGAGAGAGAGAGAGAGAGAGAGAGAGAGAGAGAGAGAGAGAGAGAGAGAGAGATCTTCGTACTCACGCGTTCTCAAGCGTTTCCCTTTGGACGTTAGTCGATGATGTTTCATTCTGAGCCTGTGCTGACGTTGGGTCGTCGCGATGTCGGCCGCGGTGGAGTTCCACGAGCGGCCGCTTCCGGTCGCGTTCGCCATTTTCCTCTGGATGTCCTCGAAAATTTCAGCCTTCTGCGCTTCCGCCGTTTGTTTGTACTTTTGGTAGTAAGGCCAGCCGATCTTCCCCTCGAGTTTCGAGATTCTTGGCGCGGCTGTCGCGGCAGAGGCGAGTCTTTGCCTCTGCAACGCGTACGACGAGGCTATGCTGTCCATGATCGCCGCCTTGTTGTCTCGCGGAACGTCGGTCACCATCTGGCCGCTTCCGGTCGTTGTCCAGTATCTGCAACGCACGAGAGAGTCGATCGTTATTATCGCCATATTTTGATTATCGCCTCCCTCGAAACCGTACCAACTTTTTCATCCATTGAACAATTTTTCATGGACGTATAATTTCAAAGTTGCTTCAGGTGCAAGTGAATCGTTGCACGTTCAATAAAACTTTCGAAACGTTTCGTTGCATCTCTATGAATCGTCAGCTACGATTCTACGATTCTTCTCTCATTTTAGTAAATAGAGAGGAGAATTTCTCTTTTCAGACAAATTATGCATACCACGCGTGCCAATGAGGCTTCTTCTATATCTACTTAATCAAAGAATAATCTATTTTATTTTATTTACATTTATTTATAATTCAGGGGTTGTTAGTGACCACAATGGATTTTATGATTAAGGCAGATACGACTATAATAAATGATACAATTTGCTACATCTGTCAAAAATTCTAAGACTTTTTTCCCTCGGGATCTTCCTTTTGCAACATTTTGAGCGAGTCTGTAAGGTTGTTATTTATGAACGAGCGATTAATATATGTTCAATTGCACGTGTCACAAATATTTGGTTCTGTGTTTGTGATTAGATAGGAATGTGTCCAGTTTTTGTAACCTATTTTTATTCTTGTTATTCTGTTCAGTCATAAAGCTAGCTTTTACGAATTTTTACGTAGCTTGGTAGGTCTTGCATTTTTCCATTCTTCCTTCTACGACTTTATTGTTGCGTTGATGAAAATTTGAAGATTATTTTGTTTTAGGCACATTTGTTTTACGGTTCGAGAAATCTAGCAGAGCTCTGAAAAGCTATTTTTTATTTATACAGTGTTATTTTCGCGTTAGCCCACGTTTCAGTTACAAGTTACAACTCGCAACAAACGAATATTAATTATTGCCGTAGTTCAACTTCGATAATTAACCGAGGACCGAGGTTACTTTCTGTATCACGGTGCCGTTGGAAAAGTTGCGAGAAGCTTTACACTCCGCGAGAAAAGCAGAGAGAAGTTCATCGCGAATCCAGATTTCCGTAAACTTCTTCCACCGGCGTCCGGGTACGAAACGAGCTGTTTATTATTTGTCAAGTCGATTCACCTCCGCGAGACAAAACGTAGAGAAACGAATAAAGTACTGTTGGATTCCGTATAATGGAGTCAACACGTTTATATTTTAGAAGAGTTTATTCCCTTTCAGTCGTGGTCGTGTATGAAATAGAATGATACAGAATGATTTAGAATGTCTTAGAATATGATGAATGTCTAATGCTCTTGATGTAGAATGACTTACAATGTTTAATGCTCTTGAATATGATGTAGAATGATTTACAATGTTTAATGCTCTTGAATATGATGTAGATTGATTTAGAATGTTTTATGCTCTTAATGATATAGAATGTCTTTATAATGATTTAGAATGTTTTATGCTCTCGTATGTCTCTAAAGCATGTCCTTATATATATTTGGTTATCATCGTCAAGTGGAAGGGGAAGGAGAAGCATAAATGACCAACTATTAGATCTTGGCCTTATGACTAACTATTCACAGTCCACTTTTATGTGGACTGTTGCTAGCTCATTGTCAGTATTTGCATAGATTCAATATTGTCCGG